GTTGCCCACATGGGTCGCTCTCCGTGTCCTTTGGGTCACAAACTTGGTAACGGCGTCTTTGGGTCAGAAGGTGGGGAGTCGGTGACTTCGCGATCAGGCTCCAAACCAGACTGGCAGCAGCTCCCCGGGCCAGGGGCACGGTCTTCTTGGTCATCCCTGCCAGTCTCCGGGCACCAGGTGGAGGAGCAAGGGGGTGGAAGCGGGTGGGGCCCCTCCGGGCCAGGACTCTGGCTGCCGCTGTCCTGGAGGGGGTGGGCAGGGGGTCAAGCCCCACGGCCTGATGGGCGCCAAGGCCAAGGTCAAGGTCAAGGGCCGGCAGCTCCCCGGCGCCCCAGGGTCCACGCACGCCCTGCACATTCATGGCTAGGATGCCTCGCAAAGGAACAGCGGGTCCGGGCACATGCAGAGCCAAGGAGAAGGGGCAGGGGTGGGGGCGGGGAAAAGAGGGAAGCTGAGCATGCGCACAAGGCCGGGCGAGGCCGGGGAAGAGGCAGAGCCTCGGAATGGCTCCCGGGGCCACTAGACTACGTTTCCCAGAAGGCCTTGGTCGCCAGCTGACGCTCCCCCCGCCCCCCGGGGTTCAACGTCACTTCCAGTCCCGCTGCTTTCCTCCACGTGGCCAGGCTCCCAGCTGCCCCATGGGCAAAGGCGTGCAGTGCGCCCCGGGCCAGGGTGCGTGGGAGCCGCGGGCGGGGCGGGCGCAGAGAGGGCGGCCCCCCTGCCAGGGCTTTGGGAACGTCCTAGGAGCCAGGGGGAGGGGTTAGGCGCGGGGCTGAGAGGCTGGCACGTGCGCAGTCGTCCTCTGCGCCCATTGGTCAGACTTGGGGGAGCGGTGCAGGCCTCGAGCCAATCAGCTCGCTCCGTCTGCACCCGCCCTCTTCCTTTTTGGTAGGCTGGTGAGGTCTGCGCTTGCGCAGGCACCTCCCTAGTCTTTTACTCTTTTACTAAGGTAAGTGTCTGCTGGGCACCCGCCCCTGCCCTCAGGGAGTTTTCTTTCTACTTCCCATCTTAGAGGCCCATAAAGGAGTAGATTAGAGGAAATTCCAAGGCCCTGGTGAATGGGACTCCTTTGGTGGGAAGCCTCTAAGGACCGGGTTGGGGAAGGAGAGCTTGGTGCCCCAGGCGTGGCTCACAGCCTGGGCAAAGACCTGGGGGCTAGAGATGCTGTGTCGTAGTAGAAAGCAGTCATGCTGTACACAGAGGGTGAAAGGTAAAAATGAATGGTAGGCCATTTCTGGGAACACCAACCAAAGCAGGGGCACAAGGGGCGCCAACACATCTGCGAAGCCGGATGGGAAGGATGAGGGTCCCGTGGCAAAGCAGAGGGTCAGCCTTCTCCAGGCCACAGCCCATGTGCCCAGGTGTCTCCTGCAGTGGGGGCTCCAGGGCCCCATGTGGGGGAGGGCTCCCGGGCTTCGTGCCCAACAGGTGAAGAAGATGGGTGGCTGCCAGCCTCGGCCCGGCCGGGGTCTGGGGGGTCTGAAGCCATGTGGGCATTTGGTGCCTGGCAGCATCCCTCCTCTGCCTCCCCCCCCAGGGGCAGGTGCGGGTGGGAGCCTGGGCCACTGTCCATGGTGAAGACACGTGGGGCGTTAGGCTGGGTCTGCATGACCCGCAGGATTGCGGTTGGCAGACGTTATGGAGCGCCCAGGTGCCAGGTACCTGCCAACCCTGGCAACATCGGGAAAGGGCGAGAACAGCCGCCGCTCTCCAGGAGCGAGGACTGTGAAGACCAGACACCCCAGAATAAACTGGAGAACCTCAGGGAGGGGAGGTGCTGGGGGGGACTGGCAGGGTCTTAGCTGGGCCTTGAGGGAAAGGCCCAAAGGTGGAGCAGAGGAAGGGGAGGATGGTGGGCATGGGGAGCTGCTGGTGAAGAGTCACCATGGAAGATGGCCCGTCACATACCCGAACAGGAAGAGGCCAGAGGCGCTGGGTCCTGGGAGTAAGGGGTGACAAGACCAGGGAGGCAGACAGAGGAGTTTATGGATGGGCCGGGCTCTGACCTGGACTTCCGCAAATCACGTGGACAGCTAAGAATCCCCCTGCCTCGGAGCGGGGAGACCGACAGACTCGCAGGAAAGCCAGTACACGGTCCAGGCGGCCGTGGCCAGAGGGAGAAGATGGGGTAACACGGGGAGGAGGGCCCAGATTTGGAAACAGTCAGTAGGTGTAGGGGGTGACTGGGAGGATGGGGGGATGACCATTGTATCAGTGAAGGAAATTTCAGACTTTGGAAATGTGCAGGTGGACCATTTGTGGGGGATGCCCCGGGGTGGGGAGGAGGCCTAGGTGATGGGAGGTGAGAGTGTTTGAGGGAATGACCTCTGTGTGGGTGTGTGTGTGCACACGCGTGCACGTGATTTGATGTCCCCTAAGGGGAGGCAGAAGACAGCCTGCGAGCCTGGCACTGAACTAGATGAGGAAAAAGAGGGAGGGTCCTGGGGGTCTATAGACATCAGCCACCAGAGAATCAGCGAACGAGTGACCCTCCTAGGAGAGAGAACGTGGAAGAGGTCACAGAGAGCAGAAACCCCCCGACTCCCCCACCATGACCAGCCTGTTGAGGGGATCGAGTGAGAGCGCAGCCAGTGACAGCAGGGAGGCCCAAAGAGCCACGGTGGGAAAGGAGAGGATTGAAGATGAAAGCAAGAGGGTTGTCGCCGGGCGCAGTGGAAGGGAGGCTGGGGCGTTAAAGTAGGCCCCCTGGGACGGGGGTGCTGTATGACTGTCCACAGGCCTTGGCCCCCGGTGCGGTCCTCTTCTAGCCATTGCCAAGGGGCAGATTTGGGGAGCTGGCCTGCCTCGACGCTTGTGAGCTCATGTTCTGACAACTTGTTCCAGACAAAGCAGAGGGCCCCCCACCTGAGGCTTTGTCCCCCATCGAGGCCCAGAGCACTCGCCAGCATTTCTGTAGAGCTGTGACCTTTGCCAAGCCCTTGACAAACATTATCTCGCTGGGTCCCGGCCCCAGCCGCACTCCAGAGGTGAGGAACAGGCTGAAAGAGCCCCCTTTGGGCCCAAGGCCACACAGGGTCTGCCAGGGCTTTGCCCTGGGGTCCCCTTGGAAGTTTGTCTCAGGCGCCACCTCCTCTTGGAAGCCTGCCTGGAGCTCTCACTCCCCTGTTTTTAGTATTTTTTCTGTGAGTTACAGTGTGTCTGCTCACGTCTTGTCCTCCAGGTTGCTGGTGCCTTGAGGAAAGGGATTCTTCTTTCCAGCCTTTTCCCCTGCCCAGGGTCTCCCACACAGGAGGCCTCTGGGAATGTTTGTGGTGTTGAGTTGCATCCTTTAAATGGCTGGCCCGTTAGATCCTCATGTCAGCAGGGAGGCCCTGATGGGTTTCTGGGGTGTGGCTGTGACTTCTCACGCTTCCCGTTTCCTCCCCAGCTCCACTCTTGAGGACCCTTCAGCCCTTGCCCAGTAGTGGAAGCGTCAGAGAAGAGCATGGCCCCTGTGCGGCAGGAAGCCAGCACCCGCAAGGTGAGTGAGAGCCGCCATCGCAGTCCGGGGAGGTAAGCCCACCCCTCCCACGTCCTGGAACCCACCAGACTGGGGCCTCAGTGGAAACAGAGACTGAGACTTAGGGCTCGCCCAGGCACACCTTCCCTTCTGCTCCATGCCCGGAGTGTTGTAGGAATCTTACCCCCTCATTCACTTGTTTCTGAGTTGTATCTGAGGGATAGACTGTAAGCCCTCGAGGGCAGGGATGGTGGCTTTGCCTTTGCAGACAGGCGTGTCAGTCCTGTGTGACAGTGTGGGGCACGCAGGGGGTTCTCTTTCCTAGAGAATGGCATTTGGGGTTCTAGAGCTCCATATCCGCCCATGTCAGGTCTGGGCCCGGGCTGAACAGAGCCAACACCAGCTAGCTGACTCCAGGCCTCGCCCCCTCTTTTCTGCTCCCCCATTCTGTGGTGTGGAGAGACAAAAACGGGGTCCTTGCCCTCGGGGGGCTCACATTCTAACATGGGAGACCACGTGCCTAGGACTGTGCATCTGACATAGATCCAGAGCGAATGGCAGATAAGCGAGGGGAGAGGTCCTGGTAGTGGGGGGGCCTGGACTGGCCTCAGAGCATTAATTAAGTGCTTACTGTATGCCAAGTGCCGGGGACACAGAGACAAAGGACCTCGTAGTGGAACGGGTGAAAAACACGTCCTAACAAGGTGCATACGAGATCCCACCAGGGAACCTGGAGGTGACCTCAGAGGGAAGGTCCATGCGTTGAGCGAACCAGCAAGCACCCTTGCTGCAGGAGAGGGCGCACACAGGTCCAGGGGGCGGCCCAGGGTCCCTGGTCAGACAGGACAGGGGTGGGGGGCTGGGAGAGGAGGGGCTCCATCCTGGAGGCCACAGGAGCCCCCGGAGTTCACTGAGTGGGGGGCGACATGGTCAGACCTGCGCTGGAGGCTGAATGGAGGATGGACTGGACGGGGAGAGACCGGGGCAGGCAGACCCCAGCAGTGACCACCACGGTCCGGGTGAGAGGGATGAGGGGCTGTACGGGGCAGGGGGTCAGAGGAGAGGAGGGGGCTGCAGAGGGGGAGATGGCAGACATTGGCAGCAGCGTGGCTGGGGGGGCACTGAGGAGTCTGGGATAACGCCAGGGGGCTGGGGGCACCCTCGACAGTCAGGGACGGTGGGAGAGGCTTATGAGCGCTCAGTTTGAGATAATAGGCAGAGGGGAGAAGGATGGAAAAATAGTGATAAAATACCTATTGTATGCCAGGCCCTGTGCTCCTTACAAGTATCTCCTTTGATCCTGTGAAGTGCGTGCTGCTATTATTCTCATTGTACATTTGAGGAAACTGAGGCAAACAGAGGTTAAGTGCCTTCCCAGAGTCACACAGCTAGTAAGTGTCTGAGGCTGGATTTGAACTCGGGTCTTCCTGTGTATGCCGCTGCCTCTGAGAGAGGTTAGGGCTGGATTAGTAGATTTGAGAACAGGGAAATGGGACAGAAGCCCCGTTGGTGGCGCTGCCTTGGTTTCCAGTCCATCAGCATTTTTGTCTGTTGGGATTGTTTCCTGCCTTCGCTGATCCCTCCGGGGCACAGGCCTAGCAGCGTACCCAGCGTGTGCAGTTTCACGGCTTTGGGCGCAGTCCAGGTTGCTCGCTGGAATGGCTGGACCAATTCACAGCTCCCCCAACAATGCACCCGCTTCCACCCCCTTCCATCCGCCTTCCGCCAGTCGCCATCTTCTTTTGGTCGTCCGATGATGGTGAGGCAGAGTCTCAGAGCTGTTAATAAATGGTGACTTGGGCCATTTTTTATGGGGTTGTTGATAGCTTGGGTTCTTCCTTTGGGCTCTGCCTCTTCATATCCTTCGACCATTGATCTGTTGAGGAATGGACTTTGTCCTTACGGATTTGGATCCGTTCCTTATGAAGCTTGGAAATGAGGCCTTTTCCAGGGAAGCCTCCTCCCCTGGTGCACTCCCAGATGCATTTCCTTTGGGATTTTAACTATGTTGGTTTGGTTTGTGCCCGTCGTCAGAACTGTCCGTGTTGTCTTCTGGGGTGCTCTCCGAGCCTTGTGTGGTCCCCAGCTCTTTGTCTTTCGGCAGCTGTGAAACCCAAATGTCCTTCCTGGCTCCTCTCCCTAGTTCCCAATGTGACCCTTTATGGACAAGGGGCGGACCCTCCCAGGGAGATGGTGGTTTCCAGTTTTCTCAGCCTTTCTGTTGAATCTCGAGTCTTTACCCTGGTCGCTAGGGCTTGAGGGCTCATCAGAGCCTATGCAATTCTGTTCATTTCTTCCATAGGTCGTGGGTCGTATGCCTAATCCTGGGGTGGGGAACCCGCGGCCTCAAGGCCACATAAGTGTGCCCCTTTGACCGAATCCAGACTCCACAGAACAGATCCCCTTAATAAAAGCATTTGTTCTGAAAACTTGGACTCAGTCAAAAGGCCGCACCCGAGGACCTGGAAGGCCACAAGTGACGTCGAGGCCACAGGTCCCCCACCCCGGATGTGCTCCACTGACCAGCCTCTCCGTTTCGGTGATTTTTGCTTTGTAGTATAATTTGAGATCTGGTTACAGCTGGGCCCCTTTTCCTTGCCTCTTTTTTCATTATTTCCCTTGAGATCCTTAATCTTCACTTCTTCCAGATAAATTTGTTATTATTTTTTTTCTGGCTCTATAAAATAATCCCTTGGTAATAAATTGGTAAATCTTACTACATAAATAAATTCGTTTAGGTGGTGGTGTCATATTTCTCCAAATGAATATTACTGTTATTTTAACTATTTCTGTAAAGTTACCACTTAGCAATTTATTATTGGCATAGAAAAAACCTCCGGGAGCTTAGCACGGTGTTTGGTACGTAGTAGCCCTTAAATGCTTTGACATTCATTCCTTTGTTCACAGTGACGTCATTTTTATTACGCAGTCCCTAGTGTGGAAATGTATCTCCATGTGAGTCTGACACTGTGAATTCAGACTCAGTTTTCCCATCAATGAATACTAGCAGCACCTACCTGATTGAGCTTTATTATCCTTAGTTACTAAGGTTAGCTTTACGTGTCAGGGGCCCTCGTGCCTGTGGAAGCGGGGCTGAGTCATTGCTGAGAGCCCCAGACAGTTCTCTCAGCCTGCAAGTCAGTGGGCGGGGTGCCAGCCCAGGCAGGAGGTGCCACCAGAAATTCCCTCTGTGGAGGAAGTCTCTGATGCAGGACACCCAAACCAAACTTGTCCATCTGAGCCGCTGATGGCCTCACTGTTGCATGATTCAGAACCCAAGACAACCTTGGCCACATGGGACATTCTCAAGAAGCATTTGGCTTAGAATGCCTTAGAATCGTGGCCATCTGCCCTACACCTGACCTCCAGCTGCCTGCCCTCAGGGATCTGAAACTCTCAGCCTGGTGCTGTGACGGCTGTCCTCCCTTGGGAGCTCCTGCTACCCGACACGCATGGCCCACCTTTCCTAGCTGGCCCTAGCAGCGCTTTGCATTTCCCTGGTCACCTCCTGACCATCCTCCCTGCCACTGGAGCCTGCCCCCTTTGCTGCTGGAAAGGGCAGGTCATTCAGCCTGCCAGTGGCTCTCTCCACCCATGGTCCCCACACTTTCCCAAACCAGATCACTGCTCCCCTATATGTGTGATTCCCCCTTTAGAATGGAAGCTTCTTGGTGGTGGGGATGGCCTTGCTTTTTTTCTCTTTGTATCCCCACTGTGTGTTGGTACAGTCCTCGGCACATAGTAAGGGCTTAATAAATGCTTTTTCATTCATTTCTTGTGAGGCCCACACCCTATACTCCCTGCCAATGTCCCCTGTCTTCCTAGGGCTGCAGGTGGGAAGATGCCTGGGTAAATACAGATGTTTTTGGTGTTTCAGGAATCAATCACATTCCAGGATGTGGCTGTGGAATTCACTCGGGAGGAGTGGCGAAGCTTAAATCAATCTCAGAAAGAGTTATACAAGGACGTGATGCTGGAAAACTATCGGAACGTGGTTGCCCTGGGTAAGGACATCTGCTGCCCCCCCCACCCCCTCCCCGGTCAGAAGCTGACCCTGTGCCTCCTCTCTAATGAGTGCTTGGAGATTGGAATCTGGAGCTATGAACAATTATTGTTTGATGTGCAGAAATCAGAGGCCTTGTCGTTTCATAAGACAAAAACTGCCTCTTAAGGGAAGGAGCTTTGCTTGGTACCACTGGAAACAGGAGCTTGACTTGTCTGAGAATGTGCCTTCCTCACCCACTGATGCTGCAGGTCTAGGATTCTCCCTTACCATCCCAGGCCTAATCTCATATGTAATAGGTTCCCCTTGTCTTAGCAAGGAGTGAGTCAAGATTTTATTTTATTTCCAAGCCCAACTCCGTAAGTCATTCCTTTGTGTTTCCTAGCAAGGCACTGTAGAGCATCTTCTGGTGGTCCAAAGCATCCTCTGGTCTTCCTGGCAGGCCTCCTTTCCCTCCACAGAGAGATGGGACTATGGTTGAATTCTTCTCTTAGACTTCTATGAGTGCTTTTTTAAAAAAATGCTCTCATCTTTTCCTGAAATACCAGCCCCAGCCCAGTCTCATGGAGCTCCTACTGGTCACTGACCTAAACAAAGCCCGCAACATAGCAGCCACATCTGGCAGTGTAAGCCATAGCCCTGCCTTTCTGCCCCGAGTAGGAAGAACTGTGTCTTCCTTGGAGGACAGAATTCTGATGCGGCTTTCTGTTCCCAACATTTTTCCATTTTCAATGAACAGGATTCGCCGTCTCCAGTCCAGATGTGATCGACCAGTTGGAGCGAGGGGAAGCAGCTTGGACACTGAGGGGAGGCCCCCCAAAAAGCACCTCTCCAGGTGAGTTCATGGAGACTGGGCAGCTCTGTGGGTCCTTTGGAGGAAGCATTGGCAGCCTGGGGGACAAAGAGGTCTCCTCACAGCACCCCAGGCCCGCAGGCAAGCGCTGAGGCTGCTTTCCCAGAGCCTCATCTTTCATTCAGCGAGCAGCGCTGATGGCAGCTGTTACCTCCTGTGCCCCTCGTAGACTCGAGGACGCCTTAGCAGCTATCTTCGTGTTCCACCTGCATCAGTCGGCTCATTCTCTCTTTTTTAACAAGTGTCTCACCTTAAGACAGTGTGTAAATGCGCTTTTTGCTTCTGCATCTCCTAATCCTTTGAAAATGGACGTTGCTGCTGCTTTTAAAAAATATCGTCATCCTTGTTCTCCTTCCTTCAAGCCGAGCCACATCACCACATTTCCCCAACACTGCTGGGCCCGTGTGGCACTGTGAAGGCAGAGCGCCAGGTCTGTCTGGCCAGACTCGTTCAATTCTAGTCCCACTGTGGGCCTCAGATCTCATGTCCTGACTTTACCAGCTCGCAGGACGTTGCCGTGAATACTTCTTGAGAGACAGAGGTCTTGGTTCCTTTCACTAGCACTTTTCGGATGAACTCCTAGGGGCAGAATCGTGGCGTGGTCCGTTTTGAAGCACTGGTCATGTATTATCATGTTTATTTTCAAAAAGATGGCCATGCACATGCTGCCGTCAGCGTGACTGACTGTGCCCATTCCTCTACTGCTCTGCCGACAATTTTGTCACGTTTAACTCTCTTTATTCATGTCATCACATATTGTGGCAACTTAGAATTCTGTTTTTATTCTGACTTCTCTGATTAGTAGAGAGTTTGACTAATGTTTCAGATTGTTAATGATAATTTATAATGCCTGTTTTGACCATTTAGGTTTTTGGATTTTGATCTCTTAAAATTTGATTCAATTACCATGAAGTCTGAAACTCAGACTTTTAGCAGAAATATTTAAGGCAGCAATGTTTTCATTCTGTCTATTTCTTTCCTACTTATCCTGGATACCTTGCTTTTTGTCATACAGAAACTCTTCAGCTTGCTATAATCTAATTAATCTTCTTTGTCTCCTAGAATTTCTCCTATTTGTTGAATGGATAAGAATTTCCCTCCTCTCTACAATTGCAATAAACACACCACAGTAGCAGGTATAGATTTGCGTGGTTCTCAGATCTCAGATCTAGAAGGAAGAGCAGACCTGAGGGGTGACAGAATCAGGCCACAGGGCCAGGATAATGGAGAGGAAATTTCAGAGGGATAAGTGGGAGGCCTTACCCCTTGGTGCCAGAGACAAGATGGTCACAGGGCCAAGTGGCCTGTTTCTTTAACGAAAGACCTGGGGGGTTAGCAAACTTTAAGCTGCATGTAATAAAAAAGCGTAACCTGGCAGCCAGGCAGGTTATATGAGGGGTGGTGGCACGGCGTCCCGGACCGCGCTGGGTGACTCCCTCTTGTGGCACTCATGCAAAGCATTCTGGGCCAGCTGGAGGGTGGACTCAGAGCCCTCTCTTGGAGTGGAGAGTGAGGAGTGATTGTTTGGGGGAAGCCAGATGATGGGGGCTTTGCGCTGGAGGAGAGGATGTCTGACAGGGCCCTGCCCCGACGTCACTGAGATTGTAGGGAGATGAATATGGCAGCCGTGTGCTGGATAGTAGAAGGGGCAGGAACAAGAGATGGCCACTGCCAGGAGGCCACCCCGCCACATGTGTGAGTTGATTAGAGGCTCATTCCATTCTGTCTTCATCGTGCTCACTCATCGTCTTTCTCTTTAGTCTGTCCCCTGGTGACCCTGGGCCTCCTTCCCACCCACAGCCCCTTGTCCATTCTCTTTATTTTTCTGTTTAGTCTTCATCCTTCCTTCCTTCCTTCCTTCCTTCCTTCCTTCCTTCCTTCCTTCCTTCTTATCCTCTCCCCTCCCCCCCAGGAGGGATGTGTTTACAAGCTGTTCAAGCCATTAACCCTTTGTAGATGTTCTCTTTCCTTTCCTTAATTCTTTCACATGTCAGCCATTTACTCTACAGTAAGGATTTGTTCATGAATCAAACATTCATCCTTTTAATACTGTTCTTGGAAATAATGTCATCTTGAATCTGTGTTCATTTAACTGTATTGTCTGCCATCATACCTTTACATAACATATACCGAGGACCCTAATGTAATGACCAATGAAACTGTATCCTCCTCCCCTCCCCCAGGAGAGCAGGCAGGAGAAAGGTTCTAAAGCCTGTGAGCAGTTCTTGGGGAATGGAGGAAGAGAAGCAGCCTTAATCATCCTCTTCCTTGTTCTTCCTTCCAGGTGGTAAAAAAGTTACTCATCACCAGAAAGTTTCAGAAAAACGTTATCGCTGTAATGACTGTGGAATGACCTTCCTTGAGTACAAGCAACTTGTCCAGCATCAGAAAATCCGTCCTGGAAGAAAACTTTATGAATGTAAAGAGTGTGGGAAGTCCTTCCTGGAGAACTCCAAATTTATTGTGCATCAGAGAATTCATACTGGGGAAAAGCCTTTTGGATGCAAAAAATGTGGGAAGACCTTCCGCCAGAACTCGCAGCTTATTCGCCATCAGAGAATTCACACTGGAGAGAAGCCTTATGAATGTATTAAATGTGGGAAGGGCTTCCACCAGAGCTCAGACCTCATTCGACATCATAAAATTCATATTGGAGACAAGTGTTATAAATGTAAAGAATGTGAGAAGGCTTTCCTGGAGAGCTCAGCACTTGTTCGACATCAAAGAATTCATAAGAGAAAGAAAGCTTATGAATCCAGTGACTGTGAAAAGACCGTCCATGAGTGCAAACAGTTTACTGAACCTCAGAGAGTCCATACAGGAGAAAAACCTTCTGAATGTACAGAATCCAGTGGCAAGGAATTCAGTCTAAAGAAACAACAGCAGAAAACGCGTACTGGAGAGAAGCCTTGTGAAGGGAACGAGTGTAGGAGTGCCTGTAAGAGCTCAGAATTTCCTGTATGTCAGAGAATTCAGCGTACAGACAAGTCTTATGAATGCAATAAATGTGAAAAGGTCTTCCACCAGATACCGGATCTTATTCACCATCAAAAAATTCACATTGGAGATAAGCCTTTTGAATGTTGTGAATGCGGGAAGGCCTTCCGCCTGAGGAAGCAGCTTGTTCAGCATCACATGACTCATGCCGAAGAGAAACCTTACAAATGTAACAGATGTGAGAAGACCTTTGGCCGTAGCGCACAGCTTACTGTGCACCAGAGAATTCACACTGGAGAGAGACCTTACGAATGCAGCGAGTGTGGGAAGGCCTTCAACGAGAGCAAACAGCTTATTGTCCATCAGAGAATTCACAGTGGAGAGAAGCCTTATGAGTGTAACAAATGTGAAAAGGCTTTCCGTCTGAAGACACAACTCACTAGACACCAGAGAATTCACACAGGAGAAAAGCCTTATGAGTGTAAAGAATGTGAGAAGACTTTCCTGGAGAGCTCAGCACTTATTCGACATCAGAGAGTTCACACTGGAGAGAAACCTTATGAATGCAAAAAATGTGGGAAGGCCTTTCGCCAGAGCTCACATCTTACTCAGCATCAGCGAACTCATACAGGAGAAAAACCTTATGAATGTAATGAGTGTGGGAAGGCCTTCAGTGTGAAGACACAACATACTCAACATCAGAAAGGTCACATTAGAGAGAAATCTTCTAAATGAAATCAATCTAGAAGGTCTTTCCTTGAAGAGTTAACAACTTACTCTCAATCAAAAAATTTTTACATGCAGAACAATCATTCATGTGGAAAAACTTTCCATCTGAGGACATCAAGGCTTACTCTACCTGAGGGCGTTCGTACTAGAGAAAAACCCTGTGAAGGTGGGAAGTCCAGCCAAAGCACACAACTTTCTGGGCATCAGAAAACTTATAGTAGAAAGAAACATTGTCAGTGTAATAGTTATGCTCCGAACTTCTGAGAAAGTGAAAAATGAAGTGAATAGCAGAGTATTGGAAAGAAGACTTATTAGTGTGTTGAGTATAGGAAGGCTTTCCAAAAGAATCTGTAAAAACTGAACGTTAGGGGAAAATTTCTTCAATGTAATGAACATAGAGGTCTTCAGCCAGAGTTTAAAATGTAATCCACGTGAGGAGATTCCCATTGGAAAGAAACATTATGAAGGTGTGAAGCCCTTCCTTCAGGGTCAACTTTCTTAACCTCAGAAAGGGGAGAAACATTTTCAACATAGTGATGAGAAAGCAAAGATCTTAATAAGTATCAGACAAGTTCACAGTGGAGAGAAAACTGATCAATGTCTTGAATTTGGGAAGACCTTCATCAGAGTTCAAAACATATTCATCAGAAAATTTACAGTGGAGAAGAAAAAAGTTATTCTAGCAACTGTGGGAAACTTTCGACCACACCTCTAATCTTAAACAACATCAGGGAATGTTGTGTTCAGATGAGAAAATTTATGAGTATAATGAATTTGGGAAGACCTTTCCCCAGAAATCACAACTTTTCTTGATCAAAAAACTCATAATGGATAGAATGAATGGCTTCATTGGGGAAATGCTTTCCTCAGAAGCAAAAATCTTAATGTCAGAAACCTAGAAAGACTTTTATAAAATATCATAAAGGAGATTAAAAACAACTAGGAAATTGGCAGCTACGTGATGCAGTGGATAGAGCACAGGGCCTGGAGTCAGGAAGACCTGAGTTCAGACCTGGCCTCAGACACTTCCTAGCTATGTGATCAGGGGTGAGTCACTTAACCGAGTTTGCCTCAGTTTCTTCAACTATAAAATGGAGATAATAGCAGTACCTACCTCCCAGGGCTTATTGAGGGGATGAAATGAGATAATATGTGTAGAGTGCTACGTAAACCTTAAAATGCCATCTAAATGTCAGCTGTCATTAATGACGCAGTGATCATAGGAGGAAAAAAATCCTGATCGTTGCTTCTAAGGAGAGACTGATAAAAGGCTATGGTACATTATGCAGTTAAGTAAATTTAAATGAAAATAGTTATTTAGCAAGTTTGGGTATTTACATTGATGTTGGATATTAACTTTCTAACAATGTTTAATTTGAAAAGAAAAGCACAGACTTGGCCTTAGAGGGGCCCTTAGAGATTGCCCTGTCTAGCCTGCCATTTTATGGTTGAGGAAAAGTCCAAAGAAGTGAGGATTCCAACCCAAGTCCTTTGATTCCAAATACCAATTGACTTTCCCTACTCTGTAGTGCCTTCTAAAGAACACAAAACGGTTTTAAAGATATGCGACTTGCTGTCTTGTTCCACCTTTTTAAAACAAGCTCTAAATGTCCAGGCTTTATGATTTAAGTCATTTGAATTCTCAGCTGGACCTCTGATCTCACCCTTGGGAGAGCCCACCTGAGTTCATTTTCCCATCACCTTTCTCCTGGACTGTTGCAACAAGCTTCTCTTTGGTCCTCTTTGGTCCCTCACACCCTCCTCAGCCAGCTCTAATGGTGCTCTCTTGCCTTGGCGATCAAGGACAGACTTTCCCACTTGACAACCTAGCCCATTCCTACCTTTTCAGTCTTCTTATGCTTTCATCCCCTCGACGTCTGTGGTCCAACCATACTGGCCTACTTACCATTCACATATAGTGTTCCATCATCGATCTCCATGCTTGGAATGCACTCCCTCCACCTCCATTCTTGGAGTTCCTGACTTCCATCAAGATTCAGCTCACCGGTTTCTCCTGGGCCGTCAGCTACTAGTTCTCCCGCTTCATCCCCCAGATTATCTTGTATTCATGTGCTTATATGCGTACATATTGTCTCCTCATCTAGAATGTGAGCTCCTTGAGGGCAGGAACTACTGTTTCTTTTTTCTGTCCCCAGCACTTAGAGTGTCTTGCCCGTAGTAAGCACTTTAAACATTGCTTATTAGTTGATGGGTTGATAGCAATGGAACAGAGCGCAAGAGGCTGCCTGATTGCTTTCCTCTTGCATTCAATCCATGACCAGCCCGTACTTATCTTTGCTCATCCATTGCTTTCATGCCACCTTGTACTCCAGTTTTTCTTAATTCCCTGATTGCAATGTGTGGCGAGCTTCTCATCGCTACCCTATAATCTCCTGACCTCTGGGTATTATGTCCTGTTCACCCATTCTTCCCCTTTCATTGAAGGCGCCAAGTGTCCAAGTATGTGTTGATTTAGTTTAGATTTAGCCTTCCTGTGTTCTTCTTAGAACTTTCCTCATCCTTTCCAAGAAATGATACTTAGGCTGCAATGTTTCTTGTTATAGCTTCTTCTCACAAATTTATTGTAAGCACTACAGTGTGAGATGACCAAAGATCCTGTGTGAGCCACTCTTTCTGAATTGCCTGGGGACATGATAAAAGCAGCTTCACCAGCGTCCTCTAAGCAGAGCCTAGGGGCCATTTTCCCATCGAGCTACAACTTCCCTCCACTGGTTTTATGGGTGGGGAGAACATCAAGACGGTCTTTCCAGTAGCGCATCTACATCTTGGTCACTGAATAAGGATCTCACATTTAGAGGAAGAAAGGAAAAGTCGGTGTTTACAGATAATCTAAAACCTGAGATTCTCAGTGGTCCCACACTACCTGTACAGAAGGAGCGGGGCAGCTTCAGGCCACCAGGGAGGAAAATGGGTCTGAATTTTTAAGAGGCTGAGTGAAGTTGAAAACCTGGCTTTGATGTTACATAACCTCAAGCAGATCCTCATTGCTGCCAACCAATCCTTCTATACCTCCCTAAATGACTCACTAACCCACTCATCACAGTGGCTCTTCCAACGCACTTTATCCTTTAAAAACCTCCCATGGTTCCCCTCTCCTGTCCTCCCGGCTGAGAACCTTGCCTCATAGTTCACTAAAAAATTGAGGCTGTTCACTGATGGCTTCCTTTTTTCCTCATTTCGTCTCACATTGCCCAGATGCCTTCTCCCACTATCTCCTCCAAGGCAGCTAGGTGGTGGTGCAGTGGATCACTGGTTCTGGAATCAGGAAGACCTGAGTTCAGATCCAGCCTCAGACACTAGCTGTAAGATGGGGAGGACAGCACCTACTTTCCAAGGTGGTGAGGATCAAGTGAGACAGTGTTTATAAAGTGCTTGGCCCAATGCCCGGCACGTAGTAGGTGCTATAGAAATGCTTATTCCTTTCCCTCCCCCTTTTTCACATGAAAGGGTGGTCGTTGCCAAAGCAAACCTGTCCACATGCACAGGTGTTGCCATTCTCTGGCCCAGTGCCCCACTAGCATGTCCCCTCTAACTTATCTTCAGTCTTTCCTTGCTCATTAGCTTCCTCTCTCTGCCTATAAATGTGCCCATGTTTCCACCATTTTCATGAAGCTCTCACTTCACCCATCCCTGATAGTCATTGTCCTGCATCTTTCCCCAGTGTAGGTAAAAGCCTCTTCTTACCTCTTTGATCTCATTGTTAAGCTGAAACTGCCATTGCCAGACCTACCAATGACTTCTTAATTGTCAAATCTAATGTTCTTTGCTCAATCCTCGTCCGTCGTCTCCCTGCAGCTTTTGATGCTGGCATCACCTCTAGGCTTCCGTGACACTCTGTCCTGCTTCGTGTGCCTGTCTGACCATTCCTTCCCTCTACTTTGCTGGACCCTATGTTGTTAATTATCTTCTCTGCTGTTGATTACTTGAATTATTTTTCATCTACTCATCCAGCCCCTGGACTCTATCTCCAACTGCCTATTAGAAGTCTTGAACTAGATGTCCTATCATTATCTTAAGTTTGACATGCCCCAAACTGAACACATTATCTTCCCCCAGGGCCTCCCCACCCCCAAATTTCTCTTACTGTTGAGGGTAGCACTGTCAGTCATCTGGGATCACCACCTGCATGTTCCCCCCTACTCTCACACCCTATATATGATCTGTGGCCAAGTCCTGCTGACTTTGCCTTTCTAACCACTCTTGTGTACCTTGCTGGGTGATCTCCCTGCTTCATCTCTCTCCACCCCAATCTGTCCTCCACTCACCTGTCACATTAATCTTCCCAAAGTACAGATCTGGCCATTTCACCCGCTTAGTCAACAAACTCCAGCGTCTGTCACCTCTAGGATCAAATGTGAAAACCTGGCATTCAAAGCCCCTCCCAATCCGACACCTCCTCTCCCCACCCCACATACCTTACCAGGATTCTGTAATTCAGTGGCAATGGCCTTGCTGTTTCTAAGACAAGATATTCCACCCCTTGCCTCTGTGCCTTTTCATTTGCTGTCCCCTGTGCCTGGAATGTTCTCTACTCAGATCCACCTCCTGGCTTGCCTAGCTTCCTTCAGGTCCCAGCTAAAATCCAGTCTTCCATGAGAAGCCTTTCCTGACCTCCTCCCCTTAATGCCTGTATCTCCAATCTGTCCTGCATATATCTTGTTTGTACACAGTTTTAATTCAATAAACATGTATTATGTTTATGCACCAGGCACCATGCCAAGCACATGTCAAATCCCTGATTATACTTTGAGCTCCTTGAGAGCATGGGTTCTCTTTTGCCTTTATATCAGTGCTTTGCAAACTGCCTGGCACATAGTAGGTGCTTAATAATGCTTATAGGCTGACTGTCCCCTCCTGTGGAGTGATCTACACATCTGCCTACTTCCCACAGACTCCTGTGTCAGCAACCCTTCCAAAACCTTAGGACCCAAACCCTGAGACTGAGGATATCCACGGAGATTTACGTGAAGGCCTAAAGGAAGGGAATAAAAGAAAAGGAAAACCAGTCCCAGTTGTGGGGCCTTAGACAGACAGACAGTATTGATTAAACATGGTCTGTGTGCTAGGCACCAGTCTAAGCATAAGGGATGAGGAGACAGACAAGATGATCCTTGCTCTCCAGAAGCTTATCTTCTAATGAGGGAAGACAACAGATGAAGGGCTACTAGAAAGGGGCAAGTAGGCCCTTGGCAGCATGGTGTGGAAATGGCCAGGATGCGTCATGGAGGTCTGATATTCTGGACAAGGGATGACAAAGCTTATCAAAGCCAAGGGACCCAGCTGTCAGAGTCCATGACTGTGTTGGGGGTGGGGGGCAGTGAGCACAATGGCCAGAGGTCAGGCAGATGGGTGGAGATGGCCTTGGTAAATAGAGCCAGATCCTTGGGGGACAAACTACTATCCATATATGCCCTCTCCATCTGGGAAGTTGGTTGAACCAGTATAAGAGTTTTGTATTAGTTTTTATTAAATATAATCTTAGAGGATTCAGCTGTTTTCTATCTTGTCAAGATCTTCCTACATCCTGACTATTATCCAGGGTGTTAGCTATCTCTTCTCCCCATCATCTGCAGCTTCGGTTAACACATGCTTGTACCTCTATTCAAGTCATTGACAAAACATATTAAATAGTAGGACTCCCAGTTTGATAACTGCTTGGAAGCCCAAAAAGCAGTCTGGCAGAAATTTGGGTTAGACCAGCACCTTACACCATCTTCTACAAATTATAAGTGGATACATGACCTGATTATTAAAGATCGTGCCATTTAAAAAATTAGATCAGATGCTCATAGCTATGGGTAAGAGATGCATTCTTAGGCAGCAAGGGATAGAGGTCATTACAAAAGATAATCAGTTATTTTGATTGCATGAAGTTGAAAAGCTGCTTAATGCATCTGGGCAGCTAGGTGGCACAGTGAATAAAGCATCAGGCCTGGAGTCAGTTCCTGAGTTCAAGTCTGACCGTAGACACTTACTAGCTGTGTGACTCTGGGAAAAC